AGCAGCCTCAAGATGCCTGATAATAGTAAAGAATAACTTCTAAGACATTTGAATCTTTGTTAGGAATTTTGAAAATCTACATTTTCTCTCAGATAGTATTGTTTTTTTCCACAATCTTTGTGTCTCACCCAATTAAGCATTACATTGTTCCAGGATGTTAGGACAATGATTTTTTTTCAACCTGCTGATACATTTTAAAAGAGCTAACAAAGAGAGGAGGATAAATAAATACCCATGAAGTATACTAAGGATGACAGTCCCTTCTGAAGTAAGCAAACAATTTACAAGTTTAGCCATTAATAAGATTTGACGAAGAAGAGATATATTAGATAAAGGGGGTGGAAGGACTAAAAATAATCTCTTCATATATCACTTGTATATATGACACTTTATATGTCACTTCAGATCTTTCAGATGCTTTTGAGCTAGACTAGATTCTTGTAACTGACTTTCTAAGTACAGTGTACTTTAGCAAATATTGTTTTTGCAATTATTATGAGTATTATTTTTATTAATTTATGAAGTTTCCCTCCCAAACACAGTATGAAAAATTAAATACAAGTTAGCTTTTAAGTTAATTTTAGTACATAGGAACATTATGGAGTAAATTGCACTGGAGGCTGGGTCCATAAAACAGGTAATGCACAGCTAGCCTCAGTGTAAAATGTCCTCATTTCATCTTAAGGCACAGACAGAAGTGACAACTTTTGCCCAATCTGGCCCCTGAAAGCAGTCTACAGCCATGATCAAACACAAATGCACACCTGCAGAGCACTTTAAAGGAGCCCAATCCCATGACAATCTAAAACTATATTACATGATTCAGAGAAGCACCTTAATTACCATGTGTCTCCATGTACTGAGAGCAGGGCTATCCTGATACTGCCCAGTTCAGCTTCCAGAGCTGTTTTCAGAAAGGGAGGGGAGAAGGGAGAGGAGGAGGTTGCCTAGCTGGTGCTGGAGGGTGGGGCCCATGGATTGGAGCCCCACCCTGACATGGGGGCTCCAATCCACCCATTCCACCCCCGCTCCAGTATGGCTACAGAAACCCCAGAACTGACATCCTTCCCCTGCCTTCTCCCCCTCCCATCCTGAGACATAATGGGAGCTGGAACAAGGGGGATAGAGCTAGGGTAAAAGGCTGCAGAGATGCAGTCTGTCTCCCTGGATTGGCTCCAAATTAGAGCTCAATCACCCAGCCTCCTGACCCAATAGCTAATATCTCCTGGGTCAGAAGGATCAGTCTAATCCATGGTGCTTTCTGTGAAGTGCCATGAGGTAGACCCAGGAGCTGCACTTCTGTCTGCACTTTCAGTGATATGCTTGAGTGACATTGAAGGGGCAAGACTAGCAGACAGTCAACTTTCCATTCTCATTAGGTCCTTGACTGTAAAGTGCTGAATAATTCCAACACTATGGAATGTTTTGAAACTTCATCAACTTCAGTGATAGTTATGGAGGCACAAAGTGTTCCAGAGTTTATTGTGTCACATTAATTTCACATGTAGATGCACCCAGTGGAATGCTATTGCCATTTGTGCATTCCCAGGGATGTCTATTTGGAAACCATCAGTGCAAAACAAGATTTGAGTGGGACTAGGGGTTTTTCTCACGGAAGTGCTGAATTATCACAAAACATGTTTCTCCCAAAGGTGAAAAGTTATACCAATATGTATGAAAATATGTACTTGCATGCTCTGCTTTGTCTTTTTGCTCAAGTCATTAACTATTGATGGTATAAACTGTAGCTTTGTTGATTAATGATAGACATACTTCACAAACAGCTGTATGTCATACAGAGCTGTCCTGCTGCTCTGCACATTTGCAGACATTTAAAGTCTTGTTAATAATGTGGGCTCTAAAAAAATAGATGAGGTGAAAATGGAAAAGAGGCCCACATTTAGCAGTACCAGAGCGCTATGTCACCAGAGGTCATGTATAAGTGGCAAGATTAGCTCCTTCAATGACCAAGACCCTTGTCTTCTAACTTCAGCTGTGTATAAAGCAGGTGTATGACTTTCAATGGTCCTCCTCTTTCTGCCAACTCACTTCAATTAAAAACAGTGAGAAGCTATTTACCATTTTATTCATGAGGATGAAAAATGAAAAAGCAAGCCTATCTAAGAAATTGTTGGCTTCCCTTTTATCACCCCACCCATTTCAATTTAATTCAGATTGAAACTGCAGGCACTGGCACCTGAAGGTTAAAAGGACAAACAACCCATTGGGTTAATTTCATATATCTAGCTGCTACTTTTCATTTTATTATAATACATTTTTGATTGAAAGATTCCAAAGGCATTAGAAAAACCCCTGTAAAGTGGAAATATGCCATTAAAGGCTGTCATTTACAACTTGTACTGGACATGAAACCAAGTCTTCAGAAGTTAATTTTTATCTTCAAAAAGTTCTAATACTGAAATAATATCTACTGATATGATCAGGAGATTCTTATTTCAGATAATTATATAGCACCTTCAAAATAGGAGGAAATATATTTCTGACTTTGTAAATCTAATATTGAACTTGTCTTTTTAATACTGGAGTTTTAAAAAATTTGAAAGATCTGATTATAAAGGAATAATTTATAATTAATTCTGGTACAGTGAAACTCCATTGATAATGACACAGAATGAAAGCTTCATACTTTTAGTATACTGCTATGCACAGTTCCTACTAGCTGTTATACAGTATGTACAAAATGGTTGTTGTTGGAGAAAATGGTGAAGTTGTCACTAGTATTCAGACATTAAATAACATTCTAAGTAGCCTTAACATATAACTGGAAATAACCTTATTTTAATTTCTATATAATAAGAGATTACTAATTAACATGCATGTTAATATTACCTACTAAAGTAATATAAATAAGTTTAATTATAAATAAAAAATTCAGCAGAACATGTTTGGGGATCACTGAATCTCTAATTAGTTGCCAGTGCTTTTGAAACTCTCACCCAGTAAATCTATATCAGCTACCAGTCTATTTGATCAGAGGCTCCTGAAGGAAATAAAGAATTGAGTGAAACCTATAGGGAAGCCTACTGTTTGACTTGTATCTGAGAAAATTGCTTCAAATAACATTTGTGTATTAAAAAAGAAGCATTGTTCAGGTATGAAACAAATGGGGAGATGACATGGGTAATCATCCTAGGCACTAAGGGTGCCTACAGACATTTAGGGCCCCACTCCAACTCATAGCACTTTACATAAAGTGCCATGAGTTAGAGGACCCCTCCCCACATCCCAACAAACATTTACCTGTTAGATCGAGTGGGAGGGAACAAAAGCCTGCCTGCACCAGCCCTGGCCAGCAGGTGGGGGTGTCCCACCAGGCATTTAGGAGGCTGCTGAACAACCTCTGTCTCCCAGCCCTTCTCCCCCCACCCCAGCTCTGGGGCTATTGTGGGCAGGGCAGGGAGGGAAAGGATGAGGGAGCTGGAGTAGCACTGGGCTGCTGGCTGCTTTGCCTGGCCAGAGCCGGATGGGGGTGAGAACATAACTTTCTTGCCTTGTGCCCCCCACCCACCCCATCTACCCGGCTGGGGTATTGTGGGAAACTGGGCTGGGTCCATAAGGCAAGGGGGGGGGTCCCTTCCCCCACCCCCTGCCCAGGCCTCTTGACAGTGGCAGCATGTAGCTGCCAGCTACTTTGCCTGGCCAAAATAGAGGTGGGGAGGGGGGCAGAATGGAGCCCCCTCACCTCACAGGCTTGGCCTAGCTTCCCACAGTACCTCAGCCAGGGTAGATGAGGGGCGGGGTGGGAGGCATGAGTTACTACCCTTCGAATAACTACATGTGGAAATTAACTATCCTGCTTTAAAAAAGGTCCAACAAGCTATAAAGCTAGTGTTTGAAAATATGTAATAACTTTATAGCTGGTTTCTATCCAGCTTGAATATGCCAATGTAATGCTAAGCAGTTCAATGTACCCCTGGGGCTGAAAGATCATAGCCAATGCAATCTTCCAGCCACAGGGGTATGGGGGCATTCCAGCCAGCAGCTAAGAAATTGCAGCTACTGTGATTCCCTAGCCACTGTGATCTCCCAGGTATGGGGCTCAATCCCACAGCTGGGAGACCACAGCAGCATCCCATGGCTGCAGAAGCTGAGAGTCCAAGGCTTGATAGGGCTCTCAGTCCAAGCTATGCCACATGGACAGCTGGGACCAAGAGTGCCATAAGGTATGTGATACTCAGTCGCACCTATACATGGTATTGGTGACTGGCAACCCCCTCAGCAAAGGAAGCCAGCTGTGGGAACCTGCTCCTTGGTGATGCGGGGGAGGGGCAGAGTTGGGCTCCCCCTGCACCAGCAATAAGGTACAATTGTATCTAATGCATGATCCAATAGTCACGCTTCCTGTCATGCATATGTAAAATGGCAGGAGGCACAACTGTGTGTATTACACATTGGATCCAATCACGTCTTTACCTGCACATGTGTGGGGGTGGGGGCTAGCTGACACATTAGTTGGAGCTTAAATAAAAGGATTAAGATTAGCAAAGTGCTTTGAGATTAAAAGAAGTTATAGGAGCGGGAAGTAATGTTATATTGGATACTATTGGTTTAGTTCAGCAGAAATAAAGTTTCTACATATCCAAGCTCACCCTGAGCACATTGAATACATATGACTGCAGAGGTATGAAAAGTCAATAAATATATCTCTTTCAATGCTTAATGCTGTAAATGCTTAAATAAGCTCCTTTTTGTTCTAAGATCATAAAGTCTGTCTCCCTTAATGGATAGATTTTTAAATGAATCACAATTAATATAATATTAAGAAAACCACAGAAATGATAATGGAGACAGAGTGCCAAAATGGTCTTCCTTCCACACGTTCTGTTTTATAGAAATGATGGTCTACATCCAGGCCACTTTACTAATAAAATTCCCTACTGACTTCAGTGACATTGTTTATATGAGCAAGGCATTAGTAGCAAAGCTTTGGCTCTGTGGAATTCAAATGAAATCTCTAATTTTCCTCTTCTGTCCAACAGGAGGAGAAGTTCCCTACACAACACTGGCAACCCGAATGATGATGGGCGCCTGGTGGCTTTTTGCTTTGATTGTCATCTCATCTTACACAGCAAACCTAGCGGCTTTTCTCACAGTCACTCGCATTGAAAACTCCATCCAGTAAGTGAATAAAGAATAGATGGGGTATGTGTGTGTGTGTGTGTGTGTGTGTGTGTGTGAGTGTGCGTGTGCACGCGCGCATGTGCATTTGGGTAAAAGTATGAAAAATAGACCTTTTCAGTAGCCTGAGATGAAGGATGTGTGAATGAATCAATGGCAAAGTCCATAAGAGTTCATATTTTCGCCACTATTGTTTTGAGGTAGAATGTCCTGAAACTGACCTACATCAGGGGATTGGTAACCTCCGGCCTGGGGGCCAGACCCGACCACAGAACTTTGGATCTAGGCTGCAGATGTGGGGCTTCAACAGCATTCAACATTGGGGGACACCTGTGGGCAATCTCCCTGCACCACCATATGTCCAGGGAGACAAGTGGCAGCAGTGGCAAGGTCCTAGCACCTGCCTAACCACCCACTTCGAACCTGGGCTAGGTCATTGTGACCCACAGCCATAAGAGTCCATAGTCCTGACTTAAATGGTTCTATCTCCAGCCTAGTCACTCTTCTTGGGTACTGTCTTATGTAAATGAAACTGTCATAGTGGAAATGTTTTGAGGAAGTAGTAACTGGGACATTATTTAACACATTTGGTTTTTGGACCTCCCTCATACAAGGAAATGGAATGGAAACTTAAATACTGCTCTGTGTTTCCCCTACACAGTCTTCACTCATAAGTAGCCCTTTGATTACGATCAGACCAAGGTTTTATCCCAATTTTAAAGTCTGACATTTAACTCTCCTTGTTCTGCAAGAGAAGTAGAATAACATTTGCTAGTATGAATGATATTAATTGATCCTTCTCCTATTCTGTTTTTCCATTTCCAGCTCTCATATTTGCCACGTTATTTGCTTACCTTTCTTCTTTTTGTCTGCCAGCTCCTTCCTCCCCTTTTTGTATTTCTCTCCTTTTCCTCTATATATCCGTCTTTACAGGAAATTCCACATGTTGTCCCTTCTCCCCATCATTTCCCTGACAGGATCACCCATATTTTCCCCCATCTTGATTACCTTTAACTATGGATTACCATTAGCATCTTGGATGCCATTAAATATCCATCCAGCATCTCTCGCTCTTACATCTCTCTTACCACAGGAATGCATATCTCTGTCTTATATCACATCTGTTCTTCAAAGTCCTGCCACCTTCAGCAAATATCATTGTCATTTTTGACCCTTGCTCCTCCCAAAATCCATCTGTCGTGTTACCCAAAATGGAAAATCTGTCTATAGGAAAGTAGCCAAAGAGTTTGGAGGTGAGGAGAGATGAGGAGACTTGATGTAGAATGACACGTGTGCACTATCACCCCATAAAAATGTCTTCTCACAGAAGTCCCTTTATGGCTTCCCCTCACCTTCACAAAGTGCATTCACATTCCATAGTAAATATCCATATGTTTTGTTTTTCCCACAAATATCACACTATATCCCTTTCCCAGAGGTAACTTCTTCTAGTTACCTCCATCTTTTTTGTAAGGAAAGTATGCCAACTCGCCCAGCTCTCCAAGAGGCTCTCAGCTATCATTCTGTGGCAGGGCTCAGTTCTCAATTGCTTACATGTTTGTTGTGTATCCACCTGGATTAGGGGTAACACAGTTTTTCTGTAAATCCTCAGTTTGGATGAGGAGGAAGGGCCATCCATAAAATATAGCGTATTCAGTTATGTTTCTTTCTGAGCAAGAGAAGAGCAGGTGTAAAGTAAGCAGGTTCTGAGATGCACTAAAGCAACTTCTATCAGCAACTCAGATAAGTAAAAAAAACAGAAAAACTAACTCTGGGGAAAATGTATTATTTTCTTCAAATCTGGATTAAAAATTGTGACTCAGACAACTTCTTAGTATCATAATGGCCACACTGCAAAATACGTAAATGTTCCATACTGTATATAAAAGCTCATTCAAGCTCTGCACTACATTATCAGTTAGATCACATTACCCATTTTTCTCTAGATTTTAGGATGTTAAACTGAGAGATTATTGGTTACTACAGGCATAATTTGCCAGACTGTTACACTCGTTGAAGGGTAAATCTGGGTTTTCAGTCTGCCAATTAGTCAAAGTTCTGAACTTTTTTCTTTAATTGTGTAAGTCTTACAGGAAAAATGTCAGTAAATGAATATTTTTTCAACCACTTGTCAGATTTTATAATAGAATAAGCTAAAAAAACTATTTCAATGTTACAAATAATAATTTCATTTTTAATAAGCCTTAAAGGATGAGCTGTCAAAAAATATCTTAGAAAGTCCATAATTGTCCACCCAGAGATATGTATATGTGCAAAAAAATAACTGCATGCCGAGACCCTTGTATGTGTTCAGTCACTTGGTCTGATCTTTTTTGTGCCTGTAGCCACTACATCCCACTCTGAAATTTTAGCCTTAATATTTTGAAGTCTTCAAGAAAAAAAATAAAATTAATGACAAAAAAGTCTGAGCTTTGTTACCATACATAACAAACTGTAACATAATATTGTAGTTCTATCTCCAGCCCACACTTGTAGTTTATGATGATGTCACTAGAAACCCTCCATGGAACTGAGAGGTTATTATGTGCAATTGGGAGTACATTGGTCTTGTGCTGTATTATTTATGGGGCAAATCCACTGAATATGTTTTATTCAGTAGAAAATGTTGCAGCTGGAGAGCTCCTGAAATGAAAGAACAGAAACATTTTTCAACAGTGTTTGTAGTTCTGAAATAGAGTAATTAGATGTGCTAAGTATCCATTAGGGAATGAAGTTATCCTAACTATAGTGGGAGCATAAAACTTTAGTTTACAAAACTGCCAAAACTGAAAAGCAAACCAGCATATAACAGAGAGGCTGTTTGTTTACCACAATGAATTATTGCAAAATGGGAGACATGAATAAGCAATACAGAAAAAGCTGATGCTCTTTTTTTAACAGATCAAATTGTACCCTGAGGGAGCTTTGAAGGCCAGAATGGAAATGAGTTTAAGTATTTAAAGGAAATAAGCGAAATTCTGTTTACAGTTGCATGTATCCAAACTCAGTGAAGTCAGTTAAGTGAAAGTGATTGAAGTCAGTGAGCTGGTTTGAATGTAACACACAGGTAATTTGTTTTCATTTCAGTTTTACAGCAAGGACCAGAAATGATAGCTTGTGGCCAAAGGTTATTTTTGAGTCTAATTTTAACACAAATGCAAAAGTTTTGATGCTTGATTTGGAGCTTTTGTATTTTTGTGTATGAAAATTAGACTGGAACTCTCATGTACCAAAAGCAGAAGCCTCAGAAGTATCACAATAGATCCTGTTCATATCAAATTTCTCATTATCATACCTCAACATTTGGATGCTAATTCAAACTGAATTCTGAACCTTTGCTTTTCTGTAGTAGAGTTATTGTTAGGCCTATCTGCTGAAGCATTGTACTATTTTAAGAAGAGTAGCACACAAACATATTGTCAGTAACTGTAGTGTTAGTAAGGCCTAGGAAACATCTGCTTTTTTTTTTTAATATCCACACAAGTAGATCTTTGCTACAGAAACATACTCGGAAGCTTGTTGCACTTATTTGCTGCTCAGCTGAACAATTGGACTTTAATGCCATTTATAGACTTAACCTGGAGAAAAGAAAACAAAATAGGATGAGTGCACACCTCCTTTTTCAAGCAGGCAATTGCCATTTGCTGTGTTTTCAGCTATGCTGCTTTTTGGTTTTTGCCAACTAGCAATATTAAAAGTAGAGGTGTACAAATAGTGACACGTCTGACATCTGCATCTTTTATTCACACTAGATCCATGTCAGAAGCATAATCCTGGGAATGGCATATAATTTGAGCTAGTCAGCATTATTAGTGCCAAAGCACTGTGGCCAAACTGGAAACAGCAAAGACCAAAGCAAAGTGTAACCAGTGTGACTCTTAAACATCTAAGTTGTTAGTGAAAATCCAACACAGGTCAGTAGTGACTGAATGCTGATAACATCCAGTGTCTGTTTTTCATTTAAGTCAATGGGCTTGGTGGTATCAGTTCTGTTCCCAGTAGGCAGCTGTCCATGTCAGAGTTTCATAGATCTAGGGACAGAAGGGACCTAAGTAGATCACCAAGTCTGACCCCCTGCCCTGTGCAGGAGAGAATACTTGGCTCATATGACCCCAGCTAGGTAATTGTCAAACCTCCTCTTAAAGACCCCCAAGTTAGAAGCCAGCACCACTACCCTTGGAAGTTGGTTCCAGATCCAAGCAGCCCTGACTGTAAAATAGTGCCTTCTAATGTCCAACCTTAACTTACTCTCAAACAACTTATGGCCATTATTCCTTGTTACTCTGGGAGCTGCTCAGGGGGAACAGGGTCTCTCCCATTCCCTGCTGGTCCCCCCAGTAAGTTTATAGCTGGCCACCAGTTCCCTACCCCCTCAGCCTTCTCTTGTGAAGACTCAACAGGTTTAGGTCCCTTAGCTTCTCCTCATAAGGTCTGCCCTGCTGTCCCCGGATCATGCGAGTGGCCCTCCTCTGCACCCTCTCCATGCTGGCCTCATCCCTCCTAAAGTGCAGTGCCCAGAACTGGATGCAGTACTGCAACTGTGGCCTGACCAGTGTCACAGAGAGGGGCAGGATCACCTCCTTGGCCCTGCTTGTGATGCATCTGTGGATACATGACAAGGTGCGGTTAGCTTTACTGACCACATCCTAGCATTGGTGGCCCATGTTCATTTTGGAATCAATAATGACTCCAAGATCTCTTTCAGCCACTGTGCTTTCAAGAAGGGATGTCCCCATTCTATAGGTATGCTGCTGGTTCTTACTGCCCAAGTGCAGTACCCTGCACTTATCAGTATTGAATCCCATCTTATTCTCATTTGCCCACCTCTGTAACCAGTCCAGGTCCTTTTGTATCCTGTCCCTCCCTACTAGCATGCCCACCCTGCCCCAAATCTTGTTGTTGTCAGTGAATTTTAACAGGGTGTTTTCACCCCCTCGTTCAAGTCACTAATAAAGAAATTGAACAGTACTGGCCTGAGGACTGAGCCCTGGGGGACTCCA